CCTAACGGACAGTTTACCTAACGGACATTTGTCTAACGGACAGTTTACCTAACGGACATTTGCCTAACGGACAATTTGCTTAACGGACACTTGTCTAACGGACAATTTGCCTAACTTACGGTTTTCTAATGAATATTTCGCCTAATAGGCAAACTGTTCTTTAGACAAACTGTCCGTTAAGCAAACTATTTTTAGGCAAGCTGTCGTTAGGCTCTTTAGGCAGATTGACCGGTTGTCCAAAATCCCTTATACTAATAACAACAATCAATCCATTTTCGAACACTACCCGCCGTTCTCTGAATAATCACAGTTAGTGCAAACACCATCTACTATCCAGCAGTTCGATATTTAGTTTGCTCCGGCATGCTGATTCAACTTCACGTCGTCGACAGGTTCGAGAAATTATGCGCGATAATAGCTTATTTCTTCGGATTTATTGCGCAGTAGCAATTGAAAAACCGAAAAAATGCCGGAACTACCTTGTCTGAAAAGCTATTCTTCGGTTTCGGACGAGACTTCGGCATGGAACGCTTCTTCGAGGAGATACCGCAACTAAGTTTTGCATGAGCACTTGAGCTTTTGCGCACACCATTTCGACAGACACGTGCACCGGAATCGCACGGGTAACAAACGCCATCCTGATCGTTCTCATCACCTTCCTCATCTGCTGAGGAACTCCTTGAAATGTGGCGATTATCATAGAAAATGTTAGCAGTTAGGCGTTGAAAGATCCGATGATCTAACTAGTAAGCAAGCAGTCGTTGATAAAAAGTAATTTTTGTTACTTTAGTAGTTGGGGGGTTAGGCCGGGTACTGCTTAATAGTTTTTTCGATCAACGAGTACATTTTAAAGAAACTTTATCCTCTCGGATAATATCCTATATCCTGCTATTCTCAATATTCACAGGGTGAGTTTATTTTAATCTAGCCATGTAGAAGGCAACTCGAGCAGCTAGGTCGCTAAGTTTGATCGTATAATAAGAATCAAATACACTTTCTTCAAATCGATTCTATTGGAACAACGCTAGCTACTCGATATCAGATGGAAAGTGAGATTTGGAGCAGTGGATCTCAGAAGAATCTTATGGATCTTATCTGAACGTGGATCATGCTGATATTTCTTATTGGACCGGTCACGTCAGCTAAAATCGCAATCAGTTCGTCCATATCTCTATCTGCTTGCAGCTATATCTAATCGCGGAATTCAAGACTTATAATGAAACTCTGCGATAACTTCGGCAAGTCTGTTCAGTCACACCAGAATCGCCCAATCCAGATGCTTACTTTGCCCACTGATCAACGATACTGCCCACGCTTTGAGGGACTGTCGAACTGATCTAAAGTGTAGATTTAGGTGACTAACTCATTTGGTGGACCGTCACCATTCATCGCGAGAAGTCGATCGTCTTCAGAGGACAAACGCTCGTCACGGCATCGTTGTCCGCATTTCGGCGTATATCGTCTGGCTGCATTTGTAGAGTCTCCGTCTAGGAGACACGTCTCACAAACATGCTGCATGAGCAAATGGCTCTGAATCGATGAGAATAAAATGAAAATTTGGTGTTCACGGCTGGTTTTGTGGCAGGGCTCAGCACAAAAATAGTTTACAGATCAGAAATTCCTCTGTGCTTTCTCTCCAAGAGTTGCTTCTGAAAATACTTTTGCTCGACGAAATAAATAAAAAGTAAACGTCTTCGCTGATTGTGTACACAACGCAGTTGCAATCCATTCATGTTATAAACGAGATTAAGGCTTTCCGAGATCAACAAGATCAGAAGTTTCATTTATTCGCTCGTACGGCATCGTTAAATGAAAAAAATCGTGCTTGTTTCTCGGTGTCGACTATGCGTTTTGATTGTGTGATCAGCTCCAGCTGTAAGATGCTGAATCGATTGATCATGGCTATTTGCATCAAGCCTTGCTCATTGGATACGTTGTATGCAACTCTTCCTTTCTGTCGAAAATGTCAGGAAATCCTTGGAATCCACGTTTCTTCATTGGTTGTCGCTACTAAACCTTCTTGATTGCGATCTCTTGAATGAGATGAAACTTTGTCAAAGACTTTGCATCGACGCGTTCTGAACAATCGAATCGAACTCACGCCCTCTGAACAGATCAATCG